AGGTTTCCATTCTAAGGGCCTTTAAATCTCAGACTTTCAGAGCTAACAGAGATTTTGATACTCTACCTCCTCTGGAAACAGGAGCCCAAGGAGGAAAGGTGGCTTGTCCAGACTCAAAGAGCAAATTAGGGACTGAGTCATGGCAGAAATACAGGGCCCCTGACAAACCATCAGGCTAGTGCTTCCCTGAGAGGTGACAACCCCAGGGCATGTGTGGCAAGGACCGGAGCAGGGGTGTCTGGAGAAGAGAGAGTAGGCAAAGAGGACAGTGACAGAAGAGCCATGCTGCATGCTCCTTGCTCTGGGGTCCCTCTAGGTGAGGCCTGGGTGCTCCAGCTCCCCATTTGCCCTTGGCACCAGGGGCCCCAGCCCCTTTCTTCAGAGCCCCAAGGGGAAACTAAAGCCCAGGATTGGCAGCGTGGAATCACAGGACCCCACTGGACTCTTACCAGTGATTCTATGTTTTCACTGAGTTGATTGATTGTTGCGGAGCTTGAGTCCAGGGCTACTTCCAGTTCTTGGTACCGGCTCTGAGGCGCACGCAGAGAGGAGGAGTTGGAGGAGGACTGTGGGAAGAGGTAGAGAGAACAATCATTAGGGCTGGGGTGTGTGGGGGCTGTCTCAGCTGGCAGAGGGGCACCCAGCCCCCACTGTGAGAGGAGGTTGGAGGGCTGGCCTGCAGGGTCACTGCACATCAGCCCAGGGCCTCTTACTTCCAGATCCTTCAGGGTAGCAGATGATGCAGGAGTAATAAAAATTAGAAATTTTAAAAAAAACCAAACAAACCAAAAACTAACATGGGAAACAATTATGGATATAGACAAAATATATAAACAGCAAGGCACCAGGCACGGTGGCTCACACATGTAATCTCAGCACTTTGGGAGGCTGAGGCTGGTGAATCACTTGAGGTCAAGAGTTCAAGACCAGCCTGGCTGACATGGTGAAACCCCGTCTCTACTAAAAATACAAAGATTAGCTGCACGTGGTGGCAGGTGCATTTAATACCAGCTACTCAGGAGGCTAAGACAAGAGAATCACTTGAACCCAGGAGGCAGAGGTTGCAGTAAGCTGAGATTGCACCATTCCACTCCACTCCAGTCTGGGTGACAGAGTGAGACTCTGTCACAAAAACAAAACAAAACAAAACAAAACAAAACAAAAAAGGCCCCGAATCCCACATGCCTGCTCCATAGTTTATTCCCAAGTTACTTTTAAACTTTAAGGTCTCACAATTTCCAAGATGATAAAAGGTGTGGGGAAGGAAAAAACCCAATCAATCAAGCAGGTGAAGAAGCAGACATAAACAGAATGAAGGTTAATGGCAGCAACATAAAACAAGGCAGAGGCAAAGTATCTCCCAAACCAGAGAAGCCTCAGGGGCATGCACAGCTGGAGACAGTAAGCCAGAGAGGGGTCCTGGCACTGCCTCACCTTCCGCTTGTGCAATGGGGGAGCGCTACCCCACTGGAATGGTTAAGGTTGGACACCAGCACCTTCGGAATGTCCTGAATCTACAGGAGGTGACAAGGGAAAAACAAGGGCATGGGGAGAAAGACAGAAGTGGCTTAGAGAGAAACAAAAAAGTCAGGGTAGGAGGAAGATGTGGGTTGAGGAAAACAAAACGCTAAGAAGGACAGAGGAGATTGAGACCATGGCCTGTGCCATTCTCCCAAATGGCCACCTGCTGCCTTGCCAGGGGCAGGAACAAATAGATGGAAAAGTTCCCTGAGCGATGCAGTCACAGGGTGGAGTCACCTGACCAATGCAGCTCTTAATATGCTCACTGGACCCCTCTCCTCAGGCCCAGGACGTGGACGATGAATCTGGTAGAGCGCCAGACCTCCACCTCTATTAAAAAAACCAGACTCCTGAGTAAGGGTTCACTTGAACTAAGGGGGCTCCAGCTGAAAAACAAGTTTGAAAGGTACTGATCTTGTCCAGTATCGTCTTACAGAGGAAGAAACTGAGGCCAGGGAAGAGGTGATTTTTCTGTGGTCACCCAGCAAGCTGGTGGCAAGTTAGATCCTCTCTTACTCCTAGTGCCTGGGACTGTCCTCACCACACACTGGCCCTCCTTCTGTAACTCCTAAAGGGACAGTCTGATGGCAAGTGGCTGTACACATTGTCCCAGCTTCCCCTTGAGAATGGGGATCAGGAAAATCAAACAGCAATGACCATTTCATGGGCATCCTGAGTGTTTACAGCAGGCCATGTACTGGGGATTAACATAAAAACAACAACAATAAGGAATTTCATTTAAACTTCACAAATGGAAGTCAAACAATGCTACCTCTGCTTTACAGATGTGAAAACAGAGGCCCAAAATGCTCAAGCAATTTGCCGTAAATCA